GGCAGGTGGCATGGAAACAGAGCGAACGGGGCGAGGGGCGGGTGGCATGGAAACAGAGCGAACTGGGCGAGGGGCAGGTGGCATGGAAACAGAGCGAACGGGGCGAGGGGCGGGTGGCATGGAAACAAAGCGAACGGGGCGAGGGTCGGGTGGCATGGAAACAGAGCGAACGGGGCGAGGGGCGGGTGCTTGCCTTAAAGGTGGGGTGCTTGCCTTGAATGTGGGGGCGAAGGTGATGGGAGCCTCTTGAAACCCGTAGAACCCCCGACCCTCCCGAATCTCCCGCTGCAACTGCCATGCACGAATGAGAGGCAAGGGGATGACGAGGATGAAGGGGATGACGAGGATGAAGGGGATGACGAGGACGAAGGGGATGACGAGGATTAAGGGGATGACGGGGATTAAGGGGATGACGGGGATTAAGGTGATGACGGGGATGCCGGGGATGAAGGGGATGACGAGGATTAAGTTTCGGGGGTACATGCTGGGGGATGACAGGGCATGAGATAGCATGAGGGGGCATGAGATGGCATGAGGGGGCATGAGGTAGCATGAGGGGGCATGAGATAGCATGAGGGGGCATGAGATAGCATGAGGGGGCATGAGATAGCATGAGGGGGCATGAGATAGCATGAGGGGGCATGAGGTAGCATGAGGGGGCATGAGATAGCATGAGGGGGCATGAGGTAGCATGAGGGGGCATGAGGGGGTCCGGGGGAATGAGGGGGTATGTGGAGGGCACCACAGTATGTGCACGGGCATGTATATACGTGCATACAGTGCAGAATTATGTATGTACATGGACTCATGCGACCATCAACCCACCCCGTAGTACCGCTCTGCACCGCTGCTTACCTCGTCATACTCCAGCAGAGCACAGTACTCCTTCCTCTGTATCTCCTAGCTATGCCTGCTCCCCAAACACCAAAATAACACACAGGTACTGCTCTGCACCACTGCTTACCTCGTCATACTCCAGCAAAGCACTGTACTCCTTGCTCCGTATTTGCTCCAGAGCACTTGCATGCACTGCCGCCCGCCTGTGAGGGGTTTGAAGGGTGAGGGACAGTTAACGGGTTTCAAAATCGACTAGCATCTGCTCCAGCGCACTCGCGTGCACTGCTGCGAGATATTTTTCAGAATTCACAACCGACGAATGGTTCACACCCGTCCACCCGTCCACCCGTCCACCCGTCCACTCGTCCACGCTGCGCGCCTGGAAGGGAAGGTGGACGGGCGATAACCAACGAATGCTCACACTCCCTTGGGTTATCACCCTCATGGTCGCTGGCCGTGTTGGGGCACCAATAGCTCCACCTTCCCTAGAGTCAGAGTCAACCTGCGAGTTGCTCGCACGCGGGCACTGCTGCGCGCCTGTGAGGGGCTTGAAGGGTGAGCGATGGCAGAGGGAGGAGGTCAGGGGCTTTAGAATTACCTCGTCCCTTCCCCCCCCCGTCCGCCACCCCCCTTCACTCATACCCCCAACCCCATGCATACCCCACTCACGCTCTCTTGTGTAATGAGTCGATTTTTGAGTCGACTCAAAAATCGACTCATCATTACCCACGCATAACCCACACTCACGCTCTCTTCTCCATCGATTTCTTGGACGACAGCTGCGGCGCCGAAGCAGGCTTGCCGCTCGCGTCCTTGTTGGAGGCCCCTCGAAACAGCCCCAGGCTGGCGCTGAGACTCCCCGCACTCAGCACGCGCTTGTGGCCCTCAAGCCCCTTCCCTGAGCTTGATTTACCTCCAGCCGTCCCCCCCCCCCGGGGCGTTCCCCCCCCTCCAGGTGTTTCTCCCCCTTCGGGTGTTTCCCCCCCTCCTGCTCTTGGTAGTTTCCCCAGCCCACCGCTATCCCCAGTTATCTCCCCCCCGTGCGCACCCCCTTCCCTTGCATTTTCCTCCTCAACCGCCCCTCCTCCTCCCCCTTCTGCTCCTCTTCCCGGTTCTGCCTCAAACTCCAACCCCTCACCATCTTCTCTCCTCCCCCCTCCCCCTCCTCTCATCTCTCCCCCTTCTCTCACCCCGCCCTCATCTCCTCCACTGCTACACAACCTTTCCTCCCGGATACTCCCCTCACTTTCACCAATCCCTGCCGCGTCTTTTCCTGCCGCGCCCTTGCCACCACCGTTCCCATTCATTCCACGAGTCGACTCAAAGGCTGCATCGCCGCTACTAGCACTCTTCTTTATTCCCCCAGCCCTCAATTTCCGAACCCCCTTTCCGTCCACCCTCAAGCTCTTGAATGTGGGACTATTTGGCGGGGGTGTTTTCCCCTTTATTTCCGTGCTGCTGTTTCCTCTACCCTTTTTCGAGCTGTTCAGCTCAAACATTGTCCCGAAGCTGCCCTTCGTTGTTTTCAAGAAACCTTTCAGGATCTCGCTCGAACTTCCGATGCTGCTCCGCTTCCGAACCACTTTTCCAGGTTCGGCAAAACCACTAGCCTCCCGTGCCACCTCCTCCTCCTCCTCCTCCCCCTCTTCCTCCCCCTCCCACACCACCCCCCCCTCCTCCTCATCGTCATCATTACCACTGCTGGAGCCTTCAGCCTCGTCCGCTGAGCTGTCATCGTCTAATTGGTCCAGAACTTTGGCCCCACTGGGAGGGACAGAGGGGGAGCTGGCAGCAGCAGCAACGGAGGAGCGGTAAAACACAGCAGCTGCCGCCTTTGCTGCACCGGCACCAGCCGCAACAGCACCCGCCGCAGCACCAGCTGCACCAGCCGCAGCACCGGCAGCAGCACCAGCACCGGCAGCAACAGCGCCAGCAGCAGCACCGGCTGCAGCACCAGCCGCACCAGCCGCAGCAGCAGCGCCCCCTGCAGCGGCAGCAGCAGCAGCAGAGGCAGTGGCAGGGAACGAAGTAGACGACGGAAGCGCAGGCGGGGGGGAGGTGTCGAGCAGAGTGAGCCGGTAGTTCAAATCGCCCATCCAAAACAGATGGTGGAACTGGTTCAAGAGGTCGATATTCGGCAGCCCCGGGCGCATATTCTGCACGATTTCGCGGTAATTGTCGTTCCGCGTGGCGCACTGCCCCTCGTGCGCGGCCAAGTGGGAGCTGATAAAGCACAAGGGGGTGTCCCAGAACCGCAGCGACACGCACACGGCGCCCTTGTTCGCCAGCACGTGGCCTATCCCTGTGGCCTCGCTGGCCACCACCACGTCTGTAACGGCTCTCTGGGAGGTGTCTAGCACGAGCACCACGATCCGCATCTGCCCCCTTGAAGTGCCCTTCACCAGGCGGTACCTGCAGCGCAGCGGTTAGACATTCATGCTCTCAACAAAAACCTTTGACTGGGAAAAATGCAGAAACATGTGGGGAAATGCGGAAAAATGGCGGAAAAGGTGGAAATTGCGAAACTTTTTTGTCAGCTCGAATATGAGATGTGTGCCCCCAAGAAGCGCCCTCATTCTGAAGCGCCTCAAAACCCCCCTTAGGTCAGTCGGCACCTACCTCGATCCGAAGTGCACCTTAATCGCCGCCACCCAATCGTCCATACGCGACGCGGACCCTTGCCTAGGCGCCCTTTGAATCGACTCAAAAGTCACCAGGCAGGAGCACCTACCTTGGCCCGAAATGTGCCCGTATGCTCGCCACCCAGTCGTCCATACACGACGCGAACCCTTGCCGCGGCGCGTACTCGCACTCCTGCGATCCGATCGCGATCAGATCGTGCGTGCCGCCCACCGGCAGCCACGGCGACAAATCCCCCGCGGGCGGCGCGTTCCCCACATTCCACGACCCCACGAACAGCGAAACCGCCTGCTCGGGCGGCGCGCGCGCCGCCACTGCTTGCAGCAGCACCCTCCCCACGACCGCCCCTTCCCCCCGCGCGCTCGCGCCTTCCCCCCGCGCTTTCTTCTTCCCCAAAGTCGCGCCCATCCCCTTCCCCAAGGAGCCCTTTAGCCCCCCCGCGGGCGCTTTTAACTCGTACCACTGCGGCGCGACGGCTTTATCCGGGTCTAGGTCTAGGAGCCGCGCGACGGGGAGCGGAGCTATGGCGCCGATCACCTGCTTGAGCCCGATGGCTATGGCGCCCTGCACGAGCGCGCCGCGTACTAGCGCGACGGACACGTGTGCCGTCTGCTCGTCTTTCACTGTAAACGCGTGCCCCTGGTTTACTTCCACTAGGCCTTCCGCCGCTTGCCCCCCTTCCGCCTGCCCGTTCGCCTGCCCTTCCGCCTGCCCTTCCGCTTGCGCCTCCACTTGATCTTCCGCGAACCCCTCCCCGAGCCCCTCCGCCTTCCCGTTCTTCCCCGGCGCCTTCCCGTTTACCTCCGCCTTCCCCCCCCCCTTCCCCCCCTTCCCCTCCGCCCTCCCCTTGACCTCTGTCGTGCAAAAGTGCGCGTTTTCCACTTTAATTAACACGACCGGCGGCGCCTGCAGAATATTAGTAGTCTGCCACGCCGCGTCGGCGTCCTTAAAATCCTTCACGTCTTTAAGCGCCAGAACTTTCACGCTCACGCGGCACGCGCGCTGCCGCGCTTCCGCCGCGCTTCTTTCCCCCTCCGCCGCGCTCCCCCGCTCGCTCTGCCCACCGGCGGGAAGGATGCGCGTGGCGGCGCCATGATGTGCGGAAGCGGAGGCGGAGGAAATGCAGGGGAAGGCGGGGAGGCAACTGCGCGGGGGAGGGGCGTCGGGCGCAACAACGGGCGCGTCGCTCATGTTGGTCCGCTGACTATCAATCAAGTGCCAAACCTTTGTAATTATGAGAGGGGGCTTTAATCGTGAGCTATCTGAACCTGTTCAGCTGCAAACTCCTGGTGTGTAAAAGTTATCGGCAAGCGACGGGAAATGCAGGCGATGGCAGGCGACGGCAGGCGATGGCAGGCGATGGCGGCTTAGTGGTGCTCTAAGCGTGAAGGAATGCGCGAAAGCGGCGCAGGCGGTGAAAGCGTCCGCACCGCACTACATTATCTACGACGCGTCTCTGGGCTGCTATTGAACTAACTGCTTGGCGGAGGCAGGAGAAAGCATTGCGCACTGAACGTGGACTACAGTTATGCGTGGACTACAAAATGTTTTGTACTGTACTATCGCACCGATACATGTCAGAGGGTGTCCTAAGTAGAGAGTTGACGCCAGCTAAGCTTTCTGTAGCTGACGTCAAGTCACTCGCAAAGCTCGATGTCAAATGTGGACGTCAAACCAGACACAAGGACACGCTCACTCGCACAAGTCTGCCCAAAATGAAATAGGGTAGAAAGTTTTCCGACCGGGCAAGCAAACTATTGAGAGCCGCCAGCATTCTGAAAGTTACCACGTCACAGAAAAATCGTCCTATCCACCCAACGACCAGTAGGAGATTCGCGAATTCATTTTCGCTGATTCGGTGGGTGTCCTACGGGTTCTGTGGCATAATTTCTGGGCTGCCCGCTACGTTGTTGAAACAATATCAGTGTGACGTCAAGTTCGACTATCTCTACTTCGGCCATCCCGGAAATCGGAACTGTAGCGTGTACAGTAGTGGTAACCCAATTTCAACATCTGTGACTTCCCATCTGTGCTACTATACTTCGGGCTAGGGCTCTCGCTAATCGGCCCGAAGGAAAAGCCTTCGAGCCCCCAGGGAGTGTCTCACACATATATGCCTCAGGCGGCTGGAAGAGTAGGAAAACTTCCCGGGAATGTCAAGGAATTACACAAAAATTTATCCGTTAGGCAGACAGAATCAGGAAAACTTTAAGCCGAAAAACGAAAAAACTGTATTGGACGTGAGTGACTGAGAACACCGTTTTACCACACCGTACTCGACCGTATGAGCTGTACCGAATGCGTTCGCTTCGGAGACTCAAAATCCAATCACAGACGGGGGATTCAGGGGGGATTCACGTTGCGACAAAATCGAGAAATTGCTGGGTGGGTGGCGCGTGTGTACCAGAGCCACCCGTTTTCTGATGGGTGAAGAGGGGCTTCGCGGCACGTTGAGGTTGATGGGTCACGCCCCACAGGTGCCTGACTGCCTGTCCGCCTGCCCGCCTCGTTGCCCGCCCGCCACGTAGAAATGGACTTCATGTGTAGCGATGCGATGCTGCCCGCATCCGGGGAATAAAATGTGCCCCCTCGCCCGGGATTCCGTTCGGAAACATACGAACTGCCATGGCGCGTCGAGAGTCGAGTGTGACTTGTGCTATTTGTTTTTCTACGTGTTTGCTTTGGTGCCCCACGGTCCCAAGCGGTGTGTCACACCTCCATCGGATGCCTACCAATCGATGTCAGTCCGCTCCACGCGGGGTCAGCCGGTCCAGCTTGTGCCAGTTTTCACCTTGTCGTTACGCAGGCTCACAAATCACAACGCGAACACCCACTATTGCATATTTGAACACCAGATAATTCAACGAATCTACAAGAGGGCAATAAAAATAGAACGAAAAGCATAGCATAATGGGCTCCACACCACACCACACGCTTCAAAGAACAGGAAGAGTCTCCCCATGTGTGGATTTAGGCGTGGACTCATCGCCACATGCTTTTCTTCTGGCAGCTTGCACCAGGACTAAACTCGGTCCCACCTCCTGTCCCACCTCCTCCAAACAAGAAACCGTGTCTCCATCACTGTCCACGTCCTTGCCATTCTTCTCGCCTACCCAGCTAGGCACACTCAACTCCCCCTCTCTCCCCTCCAATTGCACAATACTCTTCGTACACCGGTACGCTTCAACCTGGCCTTGATTCGCCCTGGGAGCCCCTTCCTCCTCCACGATACCCAACAAATTCCCAAACTCCAAACCGCTTGTCTCCATCTCTCCCTGGTCACCTCCCACGCTACGCTCCTTTCTCACTTCCACCTTCCCCTGAACCCCCGTATCCCCCTTCCTCTCCCTCCCCTTCTCACTCTCACCCCTCCCCTCCTTCCTCACCCCACGTCCTCTCCTCCTCCTCCCAACCACCCCTTCCACAGCCTCCACCTCACCACCCACCCCCTCATTACAATCACCCTTCCTACCACCCCCTTCTCCACTCAAACCCTCACTACCACCACCACCACCACCACCACCGCCACCACCCACCAGCCGTTTCTCCAGGGCCAGTTTCGCGCGGTATTCAGCAAAGGACGGGAGGATCGTAACCGAGGCTGCGACAGGCTCTCTGAAGGGCAGCCCGCGCGGGTCAGAGGTGGACACGAGGCGCCTCTTGGCGTCCGCTGCAGATGGCTGGTTGCAAATGGGCTTGGCAGTGCGGCTCCCTGGCTGCTGTGGCATGCCGTAGGGACGAAACCAGGGCTGCATGCTGCAGGAACTGCTGCTGCCACTGCCGCTGCTGCTGCTGTTGTGGTTGCTGGTGCTGGTGCTGTTAATGGTTTTTCCCCCGTTCCCGCGTGTCGTGCTGTGATTGGCCGAGCTGCGCTGGCAAGTGGGTATGCCCCCTTTGCTTGGGACCCTACGCTGGCTGGGTTTCACTGGTGGGGCTGAAGGGTCCGACTTCGTGGTTGAGCCTTCTAGCCTTTCACCTGTTCCTCCTGTCCCTCCTGTCCCTTCTGCTTCCGTTCCTGCTCCTCGCACAATTTCACTAGCATCTGGATCTACATCTGCTCCTGCAGCTGCTGCTGCTGCTGCTGTTGCAGTTGCTGTTCTCACAGGATCACCACTGGCCATTGGCGGCCGTTGATTCGGGCAAAGCAGAGAGGAGGGTTGAATGGGGACGCTGTCTGAGGGGTCTGGGAGGTATGGGGCCCTTTCCTGGTACACAAGGGGGCTATGAGGCGTCTCCCAGTGTGGCGCCCTTTCCTTGTACACAAGCGGGGCGGAGAACGCAGGCGGAAGAAAGTCGTCATCCTCGTCTTCATCCAAATCCCCCCCATGATCCCCCCCATAAAAACCACCCAGCTGCCCAGAAAAAAACCCGCCCCACATCCCACCCTTCCAGCCCCTCCCCTTACCAGCCGCCGCTGCAGCAACCGCTGCTGCAGCGGCCTCCGCATCCTCATGCCCACCCGCACTCCCCTTAGCACCCTCCCCAAGGTTCTCATGGCGGCCCGACCCCAGCGACCCGCACGAGTTGGAGCGGTGCAGGGAGCGGTGCAGGGAGGGCGTGTGCGTCCAGATGTACGCCATGGTCTCCGCCTCCAGGTTCATCGTGTCGGCCTCTAGGTTCGTCATGGTGCCCACGCGCTGCAGGATCGACACGCGCTCTAAGGCCCGCCGCCGAGCACTGTATGCCGACCGCAGCGCCCGGGAGCCATCTTTGGGGGCCCCTCTCCCTGTGCCTGTGCCTGTGCCTGTGCCTGTGCCTGTGCCTGTGCCTGTGCCTGTGCCTGTGCCTGTGCCTGTGCCTGTGCCTGTCCCTGTCCCTGTGTCTGCTTCACTGCTGGGATTGCCAATGCTGCCGCTACCCCTGCCGCCCTTTCTTCGGAAGCCTGGGGGTTTGGCAAGCGACCCTGCCCGGTTATTGGTCGTGGTGGTGGTGGTGGTGGTGGTGGTGGTGCTGGTGCTGGTGGTGGTGGTGCTGGTTGTGGTGGTGGTGACGTTGTTGCTGGACCCAGCCGGACCAGCCATGTGGTGAGCTGTAATAAGTTCCTTTCGCCAAGCCGGGTCAGCAGCAGACAGAGCCACTTCGTCTCCTGCCTCTTCGGGTTCCGCTGAGCCAAGTGCCGAACCGGAGCTGGAGGCTCGGCGGTGCGCCTTGCTGAAGCTCCCGGGCCTCCTGTTGCGGACCTTGAATCGGCTGGCGGAACTGCAGCCGTGGGCACTGTTGTCTTGGGCACTGATGCCGTGACCACTGCTGTCTTGGGCACTGCTGCCGTGGCCACTGCTGTCTTGGGCACTGCTGCCGTGGCCACTGCTGTCTTGGGTTTCCTTTGACCTCAAAGCCTCTCCCACCTCACTCTCACTTACCCCACCCTCAACCCCACTCCCAGCCTCCGCCCCACTCCCAGGCTTCTGAGAATCTGACTTGGACTCAGCTGCAGTCAGAGGCGCCGCCAGACCTCGCCTGCTTTCAGGCAAAAGGGATGCTGGTGCTGCCTCGCCCCCTCCTCCCCCCCCCCCTCCACCCCCCTCTCCGTCTGTCCCGTCAAATCCCTCTGGGAAACTAGGCCAGGTTTCTTGAGCCGAGCCGGCACTGACAGCAGCCGGGGTGCAAGTGGAGGTGGCGATAGCAGCAGCAGATGCGGGGGAGGTGCTTGCTGGTGCAGGGGGAACTGCAGCTGCGGAGCTGTCAGCAGGAGTGGCAGAGCCAGCAGCGCCTGCTGCAGCTGCTACATCGTCTGCAGCAGTGGCAGCATCAGCAGCAGCTGCAGCAGCAGCGATAGCGTCAGCAAGCGATAGCAGGGGGGCGTCCTGGGAGCACGGTGGCGGCCTGAAGAGGGGATTGCAGGCAGCTAGACCTCCGTGTTCGAGAATGTAGGAGGCAGTCAGGGAATTATGCCTGAGAATCTGCGAGGCTGTGAGAGAGTCATGCCTCAGAATGTACGAGGCTGATGCAACGGCAGCTGCAGCAGCAGCGGCAGACGTGATGGGAGTAGAACAAGCAGTGGGAGTTGAAGTGGTGGGAGCTGAAGTGGTGGGAGCTGAAGTGATGGGAGTTGAAGTAGACGACAAAAAATGGGTGGAGGTGGAGGAGGAGGAGGATGAAGAAGCGGGGGAAGATGAAGAAGAGGAGGCGGATGAAGCGGAGGAAGAGGAGCAGGAAATTAGAACAGGCGTTGCGACAGAGGCTAGCCCAGTGGGGGACGACGCTTGCACTTCCCCATCAACCATTCTCACTGCTGCTGCTGCTGCTGCTCTGGCCGCCGCCGCTGCACCTATTGCACCTGTTGCACCTGCTGCACCTGTTGCACCTGTTGCACCTGCTCCCTCTGCTGCTCCGCCGTCCATTGCTGCCGCCCCTGGGAACGAGCTGCTGAAAGCGTTGCAGTCAAACGGGGCGTTGGGGCAAGCACCGGGCGTGGACGCCCTGCTACCAGTGCCACAGGTGCTGATGCTGCTGCTGCTTCCGTTGCTCACACGCAACCTCCTCCCCCTAAACCCCCGCACGCTCCCACCCACGCTGCTGCCGCCACTGTTGCTACTGCAGCTGCTGCTGCCGCCATTTCCCCCGCCGACCCCCTTAAAGCACCCAGCATTGCCGCTGGAGCCACCGGAACTACCACCAGCAAAGCAGCTCTCCGTGCGCCGACTCCTCCCTGCCCCTCTCCCCCACTTCCGCATCCCCTGCTTCCCCGCCTGCCCCTCTCTGCGCCCAGCTGTCTGCGCGCCCCCTCTCCCCAGCTCGGCGCTCCCCAACTCCTCCCCTCCCAACCCACCCTTGTCAAAAGAACAAGCATCCTGCTCACGCCTCCCAGAATTCAACTTCCCCAGCCCACCCTTGTCGACGGCAGTGCAAGAGCGCAGCCCTTCACCGCCCTTGGGAGTGTGGGGGGTTGACTTGAACGGCCTGTAAACGGATGGCGACAATAACGAGGGAGCGGGGGCAATCCGCGAAGGGCAACTCTCTATTCCCCCCTCCGCGCATTCTTCCACCCCGGATTCCCCTCTCCCCCCTTGCTGCCCGTCCCCTCTCTCTACTCCAAACTGCCCCATATTCTGCTCTCCCTCACCCCGCTCTTTTGTTTTCGGGCTGCCCGTGTTGTCTGGCCGATGCAGCAGCAGGGCAGCCAGGCGCAGGTTCAGCTGGGGGAGGCTCACCCGCCCTTTGGCGAGCATGCGCGATTTACACGCTTCGACTGGGGCCTTTCCGGCTTTCAGATCCGCCTGAAGTTCGGCATCGGTGTGAGGTTCATCGGCTGGAAATTTGAGGTCCAATTGCTGCTGCTGCTGCTGCTGCTGCTGCTGCTGGGATGCGTTTTCATCACTACCCTCCGGCTGCTGCAGCACCTGGTCCTGCCGCTTCTCCTGCTGCTTCCGCGGCGACGCTTTCTCTTCTTTTTCGTCCCAACGGCCGTTTACATCCATCTCCTCCACCCCCTCCCCCCCCTCGCCTGGCGTCATGTTCTTCTCGCGCTGAGCTTGCTCCCACGCACCGAGTCGGCTCAGTCTGCTCTCGAGACGACTCAAAAGTGTCGCCGCATCTGACGCCGGGCTCCCCTCTTGCGCGGACTGCTCCAACGCAACCAACCACTTAGCGCCGCTGCCTGCACGTTCCGTCGCACCTTCCGTCGCACCGTCCGTCGCAAGTTCCGTCGCACCTTCCGTCGCACCTTCCGTCGCACGTTCCATCGCACCATCCGTCGCACGTTCCGTCGCACCATCCGTCGCACCTTCCGTCGCACCATCCGTCGCACCTTCGACACCTTCCGTCGCACCTCCCGTCGCACCATCCGTTGCCCGCTCTACTTGCAGCCTCCCACCGCCGTTTTCCTCGTCGCGGCTCCGCAATAGATCACAAACTACCTCGTTGCTAATACCACTACTAACCGCACCCTGAAGATTCTCCTGAGTATCCCCGGATGCACCTGAGATGGCCACCGTGTCGCGAGATTCAGACGCGCGGCGTTCTTCAGCCGGGCACTGATCGCTCTCCGTGCTCTCTTTCGAACGAGCCAATCGAAAAGCTTCCAGGTATTCACCACCCCAGATCGCCGCCGCTGCTGCTCCGCCTGCTGAACCGTCACTTGACGTCGCCGTCAAATCGGACGGCTTGTACCCATCCGCGTTACCGGTTTGGTCTACTCCGCAGCTCTGCTGTCGGCGATGATTCTCACCGACCGCCAGCCGCCGGCGAGTCACGACCCCGGCTGGTTCGACTGCCACTCCATCGACTGCCGCTCCTTTGGCCACTTTTCGAGGAGTGCCTTTCGCGAACTCCATGGAAGGACGTGGGGTGAACGAAATGATGTCGCTGTTTTCGCCAAGGCGCGAGAGTTCGAAGCCCGGCTGGAGGGAGTGAGATTTGATCAGGCAGAGAGCCGGTTCCATCTCCTGACGCGCTCCCCGCTCCTTGCGAAATTTTGCGATCATGTTCTTAAACCGGCCGGATTCGCGCTCCGCTGCTATCGCCATTGGTCCGACCGATGGAGTCCAGCGGAAAGCCTTTGTAATGTAACGTCAAGGAATATAGAGTTCGTGTTTTAGTAGTTTTGGTTCGAGTAGACTCAAAACGAAAGCGTTTGTATTGTCATGTCAAGGAATATAGAGTTCGAGAAGCTTGCGTCACCAGAAGAAACGGCTTTGGGACACCAACGGACGGAAAATAAAGGCGAACTTCGCCGAGAAACTCTAATCTTGCTTTTAGGGGACGGTGCTGCCTGAACTTCACGCTGGGAAAAGCTTGCTGATCCGACGCACGACGCGAGAGCATTTCGAAAGACGAAGTTCACCTGCGACTAATCTTCAGACCATTATTGGCAAGTAGAGGGAATGGGACTTCTTGACATACTGACAGAGGAAGCTGACAGCGGACAAGTCAAGAACAGCGGAGCTTCCAGAACAGACCAGCAATGAGGGGGATGAGATGGGAGGTTGATCCGTGGAAGGCATTGGTAGCTCCTGCAGCTTTGGCTTGGTTGCACCTTGGTTCTGACATGAAGTGACATGAGGGTGTGTATCTGACATGCGTCTGAATGCGGCTGAGTAAGGTGCTTCGTGTTCTATAATGGTGAATAAACAATATAGAACGGTTGAGCAGGATACTGAGTGAAGACCTACGTTACGGACACGTCATTGGCCATATCAGAAGGGACGAACTGCTTGACAGATATTCTGCAAGCCACAAGCGGACTGCATCCCTCTGTACTATTTCACTTTAGCACCGCACCGTACTGTATCCTCAAAAGCTAGCTGGACACCTGATGAACACGCCTGGCACTTCGGCATCTTGGTGTGATCCCCAGATTCTCTCATTTTCAAATGTCCATCTTCCCTCGGTCCTCCTGAGTAAGTGAGGTAGAATGGGCAGGCAAAAGGTCTGCCATCACGAATTCCACGGGCAGGTGCAGCACCGACCATAATTTACGCCAATCACGTCACGTGAAACTTCAACAGCCCTGGACAGCAAAAAGGTCCGTTTTCCTTCCCTGCACATTTCTCCCAGCCGAGTTGGATGCATCGCAGCCGTGGCTGAAGCAGAGAAGCTATACATTTCTCTCGATCGACGCTGCTCATTTTTGGATCTCTGTTTTGTTTCAAACGGGCAGCACTCAACCTAATACACCAGGGTGCTTCCAGTCAATCGGACTGTGGTGGCCTGCCTGCTTGCTCGCCCACCCCCCTAGGGAGTCCACCACCTTCCAATGGGCAGGCTGAACCCCACTCGCCTGTAACGACACACCGCCACTTGCCGAAATGCATTCTGGTTACACGACGGCAATCGCGAAAGCTCAGTTGCAGACGCTTAGTCGCACAAGTCGCAAGCAAGCCCGTACGCATCAATCGGCAGCAGCCACACAGCAATCCGAGCGACAGTGAATGTGAGTGTCGTAGATGCTTCGCGAGCGATTGAGTCGCCAACCATGAAATTCCAGTCTGCAAGATTCAATTGTCAGGGACGACACCTGCGCGCTGTTAGAACGTAACGGCAGCGTGAGCTTCCCGAACATTAAGAAACACTGTTCATGGAACACTAACCTGCCCATTTTGCATAAATTTAATAGCGCCTTCATGGGTGCTAGTACAAAGCAAATATCAACCCTTCTTGAACAATGAATAAGCCCAAAGGAGCCCTTTAGTACCTTAGACAAGTGGAGCGTTGAGAAGTCAATATCGCGTGAAGAGGAGCGTATTGAGGTTGTGCAAGAGAAGGCATGGTTTGACCATTTCGGGGTTGAGGCGCATGTATGCTGGCACCCAACAATAGGGACCGCCAATGTTGAACTGCACATAAAACACACAGACACACGCGCGCGCGCACACGCACACAGACACACTAACACACACACACACACACACACACACACACACACACACACACACACACACACACACACACACACACACACACATACGCACGCACACACACACACACACACACACACATACGCACGCACACACACACACACACACACACACACACACACACACACACATACGCACGTGCGCGCGCGCACACACACACACACACACACACACACAGAGAACATGCAAGGCATACATGCCTCCTCGTCCAATGAACCAGCCATGCACACACACCAGCCAACCACCAACTCTCCCCCACACACAACTCGTCGTCAAGAGAGCACAAATAACAAGAGAGGAATCCGTTTTGCGAAAACCATCTCCCTTTGTCTGCTATACACCAATGCTCATTCGTTATTACAACAGCATTTCAATCACCATAGAACCTTCAAATTTTGGGACAACCCTGAACCCTAAACAGGAAGACCAAGAGCGTGTAACGGGCTGGTTCAGCAGCAAAGAAACAGTAGCAAGACCAGAACAGGCTTGTTCACCAGCCAAAGACGAGCATGAGCACTCACCAGGTAGAGGATAAGTCCAAATGCAGAACCTGTTGCCATGGCTATTGGTGCTGGGGTCTGCAAGGAATGGCAGTGAGTAAGCATGCAACAGAATAGTCGGATGCCCAACTGCCATGGCTGTTGTAACAGCCGCTGGACATCAGAAATAACCGTGATGCTTTGAGATATGGCAGCGGCAAGAGGGCCTGCCGCTGTTACCAGTGGCGGTTACCCATTCTGGTAACTATTTTTGAGGCGCCTCAAAACAAGACTGCCATGGTTGTAACAGCCGCTGGACATCAGAAACAACCGCAATGCTTTGAGAGATGGCAATGGCTAGAGGGCCTGAGGCTGTTATTGGTGGTGGTTACCCATTCTTGTAACCTTGTATGGTAGCCAGCAAGTGCAGCTACCTGGAATGCTGCGGCTAGCAATGCTGTACTAATGGCAACTGCCAGAGGGTCAGCTGTTGGTACCAGTGGCGAATACCCATGGTTGTAACCTTGAGTGGTAACCAGCAAGCAGGGTGTAGGGACCTTGCACGGTTACCTGGAATGCTGCAACCAGGGATGTTGTGAGGATGGCAACAGCCAGAGGCCCTGCTGTGGTTGCCTGCAGTTGAAGTGGCGTATGGGAGAGACAGTTCAGCACGGGGTGGGGGGGGAGGGAGAGTGGTTAGCTGCAGGGAAGGACTTCTTTAACGCCTGCAAAAGGGGCCCTGCTGCTGTGGGCTGCAGTTGAAATAGGTTACGGAAGAGACAGTCTGGAGTAGGTTGAAGGGGAAAGTGGTTTGTTGAAGGGGCAGCTAGGAAGGACTATTTAGGCGCCTCAAAACGCAGCCGAAGATTGGCTTCGAGTGGGAGTTTTCGAAAAATGACATCTAATGCGGGGCTCATGGGAGCTGGATGGATGGAAATGGAAGCTGATGAGGGTGGCTTACCACTTGCAGCAGGAGATGCAGGAAAACAGCAATCTCCACGCCTGTCCCGGCTAGACTGGCCCCCGCCATTGCTGCTCCTAGGCCCTGCGATAGGACCAAGGAGCAGGGTTTTAAAGGAGAAATTGTCACGGGAAGAAAGAGAGAAGAGAGAGAGAGCACGGATAAAGACTCTGTAGCATACAGTGTAGGCCCAGGTAAAGACTAGGGGGGACCCTAAAAAAAAAAAAAAACTAACCAACCCAGACAGATCTTTATTACAAACTAGAAAAGAAATGGCTGGCAGTTTCCAACCAACAGCCCAAAAAATCGCTGAGGGTACTGAAACGGATTACAAAGCTCAGTAACGGCTGGGGACGAACGGGGCAGAAGACGGGAAAGAGGGTCGACCAGGGGAGGGCCGACCAGGGGAGAGCCGACCAGGGTGGGGGGGGGGAGGGGCAACGCGACCAGGGGAGAGCCGACCAGGGTGGGGGAGGGGAGGGGCAACGCGACCAGGGGAGAGCCGACCAGGGTGGGGGGGGGGAGGGGCAACGCGACCAGGGGAGAGCCGACCAGGGTGGGGGGGGGGGAGGGGCAACGCGACCAGGGGAGAGCCGACCAGGGTGGGGGGGGGGAGGGGCAACGCGACCAGGGGAGAGCTGACCAGAGGAGGCGCGTGGGGCAACGCGACCAGAGAAGGTGCGAGGGGCAACGCGACCAGGGGAGGGCTGACGGGGACATACCTGGCCGCCTTGCAAGGAGTCCCTCCCCGGAGGGGGAGAGAGGGGACGCAAAGTGGGAAGAAACTATTGGAACACACGTTCCAGACCAGAGGGGGAGGAGGGACGAGCGAGAAGGAAGAGCAATCAGAGCGGCAGGAGGACGCAGGAAGTGCAAGAGGGGAGGAGTGCTACGCGGAGGAAGAAGGAAGAACAACCAGAGGGGAGGAGGGAGAAGGAAGAAAAAGCAGAGGGGGGGAGGGAGAAGGAAGAACAACCAGAGGGGGGGAGGGGGAAGGAAGAACAACCAGAGGGGGGGGGGGAGAAGGGAGAACAAGCAGATAGGGGGAGGGAGAAGGAAGAGAACGGCAAGTCAGAACAAGAGCGGTGGAGTCATACAGGCCTGGTCCTGTTGCAAGGAGTCACAAAATGGCAGGAGGGAGAAGGAGGAGCAAGAGGGGAGGAGGGATAAGGAATCGCAACCAAAATACCCCAAGCACAGACCTTTGAGTCGACTCAAAACGCAACCAGGAGGGTCACATACGGACCTGGTCCCGTTGTAAGGAGACCCAGAAGGGCAGGAGGGAGAAGGAGGAGCAAGAGGGAAGGACGGGGAAGGACAACCAGAAGGGGGGGGAGGAGAAGGAGGAGCAAGCGGGGAGGAAGGGGAAGGTAGCACAACCAGACAGGGAGGAGGGAGAAGGAGGAGCAAGAGGGGAGGAGTAACACGTACCTGGTCCCGTTGCAAGGAATCCCAGAAGGGGAGGAGGGAGAAGGAGGCGAGGAAGGTGGGCACGGCCACAGCCATGAGCCCCACAACTAGACCCTTCATGCCTGGGGGTGGGATGGGAAGGTGCGGGGGGGAGGGGGGAAGGGGGGGAGGGGGAGGGGCGGGGGGATAGGAAAGGCGGGGAGAAAAAGGGGGGAGAGGCGAGGAAGGTGGGCACGGCCACAGCCATCAGCCCCACCACCACGAGACCCTTCATGCCTGGGGGTGGCGAGGAGGGGGGCGGGGGTGAGGAGTGTGAGGAGAGGGAGGAGAGAGCAGAGGAGTCGTCGAGTAAGGAGGCAGAGGGAGAGAGGAGCAAGGGAGGGTTGGCACAGCGGCAGGCATGAGAAGCATCACCACGAGACCCTTCATGCCTCGAGGTGGTATGGAAAGGGAGGGGGTTCATTGCGGGATCATTTCGGGATCATTCCGGGATCATTTCGGGATCATTTCGGGATCATTCCGGGATCATTTCGGGATCATTTCGGGATCATTTCGGGATCATTTCGGGAAAATTGCTGCACCAGATGGCAATGGCCTCTCGATGGTGCTCCGTCGCTCTACATTAGCGCCGCGCTCCTCTGGAGTTGCATTGGTTTGTGAGGAAACTCAGAAACCAACTCTACAATATCATCATGCACCAGTGGTGTGCGACAGATGGAGACGTGGAGTGGAGCCATGATGGAGACACGGAGAATCGGGAGACAAAGGAAAAAGTCTCGCGATTCTCTGGGCTTCTCTGGAGTCTTTTGCCTGCCGCCAGAGAAGCCCAAGGTTGATTGAAGACGTTCCTTTTGCTCTACATGAGTAGAGTTGGCTATTGAGAAGAACACAAAAGAAAGAAAAGAAACAAAGAAACAAAAGAAATACACAGACAAAAAAACAGCAATAGCAATAGCACCACTCACCCGCCAGTGACGTGCATCAGGTGGAGAGACGGGGAGACAGGGACCCGAAAACCCGGTGGAGAGACGGGGACCCGAAAACCCCGAGACACGGAGGCATTGCGGAAGGAGACAATGCCTCGGGTCTTCGGGTGCATTAGGTGGGTCTTCGGGTGCATTAGGTGGGTCTTCGGGTTCACTTACCCACACGGAGACCCTGAGACAGAGCACTTACCAATGCTGTAGACAGCAATGAAGGTAACTGCAGAGTAGTAATGGCCTGGCAGCATGATGGTCTGCAGGCCAACAGCGGAACAACAAAGAGACAGGAGGAGAGGGGGGGGGGGGGGACGGGGGGAGGGGAGAGGAGAAGAGGAAAACGGGTGAGGCTGATGGATGCACGAGCCATGGTAGTAATGGCCTGGCAGCATGATGGTGTGAGCAGAGTTTGGTATGGGGAGGATGGGATGGGAGGGGAATGAGTGGACGGGGAGGATGGGATGGGAGGGGAATGAGTGGACGGGGAGAATGGGATGGGGGGAATGGGTGACGACAATGAAAGGTGGCAGTAATGGCCAGGAAGCACAATGGTCTGAAGCAAAACAGGCGGATGGAGAATAGGCCAAAGGAGAGCGGAGAGGGCAAAGGAGATCGGAGAGGGCAAAGGAGAGCGGAGAGGGCAAGGAGAGCGGAGAGGGCAAAGGAGATCGGAGAGGGCAAAGGAGAGCGGAGAGGGCAAGGAGAGCGGAGAGGGCAAAGGAGAGCGGAGTGGGCAAAGGAGAGCGGAGAGGCCAAAGGAGAGCGGAGAGGGCAAAGGAGAGCGGAGAGGGCAAAGGAGAGCGGAGAGGCCAAAGGAGAGCGGAGAGGGCAAAGGAGAGCGGAGAGGGCAAAGGAGAGCGGAGAGGCCAAAGGAGAGCGGAGAGGCCAAAGGAGAGCGGAGAGGGCAAAGGAGAGCGGGGAGGCCAAAGGAGAGCGGAGTGGGCAAAGGAGAACGGAGAGGGCAAAGGAGAGCGGAGAGGCCAAAGGAGAGCGGAGAGGGCAAAGGAGAGCGGAGAGGGCAAAGGAGAGCGGAGAGGGCAAAGGAGAGCGGAGAGGCCAAAGGAGAGCGGAGAGGGGAAAGGAGAGCGGAGAGGCCAAAGGAGAGCGGAGAGGGCAAAGGAGAGCGGAGAGGCCAAAGGAGAGCGGAGAGGGCAAAGGAGAGCGGAGAGGCCAAAGGAGAGCGGAGAGGGCAAAGGAGAGCGGAGAGGCCAAAGGAGAGCGGAGAGGCCAAAGGAGAGCGGAGAGGGTGAAGGAGAGCGGAGATGGCAAGGAGAGCGGAGAGGGCAAAGGAGAGCGGAGAGGGCAAAGGAGAGCGGAGAGGGCAAAGGAGAGCGGAGAGGGCAAAGGAGAGCGGAGAGGCCAAAGGAGAGCGGAGAGGCCAAAGGAGAGCGGAGAGGGCAAAGGAGAGCGGAGAGGGCAAAGGAGAGCGGAGAGGCAAGGAGAGCGGAGAGGGCAAGGAGAGCGGAGAAGGCAAGGAGAGCGGAGAGGGCAAAGAGAGCGGAGAGGGCAAGGAGAGCGAAGCGCAACTGACCGCAGCAAGAGCCAAGATGTTGACCACCGGTGGTCTCAGAATGCCGTTCGCCTGCAGATACTGAGCAAGTGGGGGCGGAGGGGGGGGGACGGGGGAGAGGGAGAGGGGAGAGGGTGGGGGGAGAGGGAGAGGGGAGAGGGAGGGGGTGCAGGAGGGAGGGTGAGGGTGGTTGCATGCAGCAAGAGACAAGATGTTGACCACAGGGGGTGTCAGAATGCCGTTCATTGGCATCGACCACAGCAGATACTGTTCGTTGGCATCAACCACAGGAGATACTATTCATTGGCATCGACCACAGCAGATACTGTTCATTGGCATCGACCACAGCAGAAACTGTTCATTGGCATCGACCACAGCAGATACTGTTCATTGGCAGGGAAGAGGGAGGAGACGGCGGGGGGGCAGAGGCGAGGAGAGAAGGGAAATGAGAGAAGAGGGCAATCGACCGCAGCGGGGGCCAAGATATTGACGACAGGGGGCCGTAGAATCCCAGTCTCCTGTGGGTACTGTTGTACGAAACCGTTACTGTTTTGAGGCGCCTCAATACTGTTGTTGGGGGTGGGAGGAGGGCAGGGACGAAACCGTTAGGACGAAAGGGGCACTCTGACTTTTGAGGCGCCTCAACACAGTCATCATCTCGTTACTCGCGGTTTTTTTTTTTGGCGCCTCAAGAAGCCATTCTCCTGTGGGTACTGTTGGGGGTGGGAGGAGGTGACTTGTGAGTCGACTCAAAAGTCACCTCGTTACAATGACACACAACACGTCTGAGTCGACTCAAAAGTCACCTCGTTACAATGACACACAACACGTTTGAGTCGACTCAAAAGTCACCTCGTTACAATGACACACAACACGTTTGAGTCGACTCAAAATTCACCTCGTTACAATGACACACAACACGTTTGAGTCGACTCAAAAGTCACCTCGTTACAATGACACACAACACGTCTGAGTCGACTCAAAAGTCACCTCGTTACAATGACACACAACACGTTTGAGTCGACTCAAAAGTCACCTCGTTACAATGACACACAACACGTCTGAGTCGACTCAAAAGTCACCTCGTTACAATGACACACAACACGTCTGAGTCGACTCAAAAGTCACCTCGTTACAATGACACACAACACGTTTGAGTCGACTCACAAGTCACCTCGTTACAATGACACAACACGTTTGAGTCGACTCAAAAGTCACCTCGTTACAATGACACACAACACGTTTGAGTCGACTCAAAAGTCACCTCGTTACAATGACACACAACACGTTTGAGTCGACTCAAAATTCACCTCGTTACAATGACACACAACACGTCTGAGTCGACTCAAAAGTCACCTCGTTACAATGACACACAACACGTCTGAGTCGACTCAAAAGTCACCTCGTTACAATGACACACAACACGTTTGAGTCGACTCACAAGTCACCTCGTTACAATGACACAACACGTTTGAGTCGACTCAAAAGTCACCTTGTTGCAATGACACACAACACGTTTGAGTCGACTCAAAAGTCACCTCGTTTCAGAATCCCATTCTCCTGTAGGTACTGTTGGGGGTGGGAGGACAGCAGACGAGAGGGGCACACTGCAGATTACCCCCTGTCCGTCATGCCCCCCCTTGTGCATCATCATACCCCCATGCCCATCTTACTAAAAGGGGCGCATTGCGTACCTCTCCATGTTCAACCCACCCATACCTCCATGATGATAAGGGGCAAACTCCACACAGCGTACCTCCATGCTCATCATACCTCCATGTTCATCATGGCGAAGGGGAAGAAGTCGCCCCCAAACCCCAGCGACACCGAGCGGCAGATGAGCTCTGAAAGCACGAGCCCTGGAATGTGGGGGAAGGGAAAGTGGGGGGGGGGACGTGGGGGAGGGGAACGAGGGGGGGGGGACGTGGGGGGGGAAACGTGGGGGAGGGGAACGTGGCGGAGGGGAACATGGAGGAGGTGAACGTGGGGGAGGGGAACGTGGGGGAGGGGAACGTGGGGCGGAAAGGAGGGGGGGGGGGGGGTTTAGGGGGGGGGGAAGGGGCGGTTTAGGAGGGGGGGGGAGTCGAGATTAGGCGAGGCAGATGAGTTCTGGGCGAACCAAGCGTGCAAGGAGGTGGGGTGAACGAGGGACGTGTGATGAATTGGCTACTTGAAATACTGCGGCAGATAGAATCACCACCCCTGAGTGCACCGCCCCTGAGTGCACCGCCCCTGAGAACACCCCCCCTGAGAGCACCGCCCCTGAGAACACCCCCCCTGAGAGCACCGCCCCTGAGTGCACCGCCCCTGAGAGGAAACAAAGAGCAACCTGTCCAGGCGGATTAACACAGGGCAGAAAATGCACCTGGGAAACAACCTGGTGTTTTTACACAGGGCACAAAATGCACCTGGGAAACAACCTGGTGTTTTTACACTGGGCACAAAATGCACCTGGGAAACAACCTGAAGTTTTTACACAGGGCAGAAAATGCACGTGGGACTCAACCTGGTGTATTAACACAGGGCAGAAAATGCACCTGGGAAACAACCTGACCAGGTGTGCTAAGACTGGGTCCAAAAATGCACCTGGGCAGGCCGACACCAGGGTGCGGACAATGGGGGGCAACAGACGAGCTGTAAAAGCATCCAGATTAGCCCACATCCCTTTTGTCAAGCCCTCCTTTCAACAGCGGTCCACTTACATCCCAAGTCGCGGCCGTCGTGGGTGCGGCAGTAGAGGAAGGAAATGCAGGTGACCATCCAGCCGAAGAATAGAAGCACGGACCACGGCAGCGAGTGCACCTTCGCCCGCAGCACCACCAGCGAGTCACCAGCCGCAATCCCCGCCCCTCCCCCATCTCCCAACCCTCCAGCCACACCCCCCACCACCACCACCCCTCTCCCCAACTTCTTACTCTCCTCCTCATCATCATCATCACCCTCACTAAAAGCGGGCGATTTGGTTACCGTGCCATTCACCCCCCGCCCGCCCGCTCTTCCCATGAGCGGGGCTCTCTCGGCGCTAATACTGGCGCTTAGCTGAGTGTGAGTGTTTGCGGCAGTGTTTCTCCGGCTAAGCAACGGGCGGAAGAAAAGATTGGTCAGCTGGGAGGTCAAGGGGATGCCAGAAGCAGTATAGGGAGATGAGGAGGAGGTGGAAGAGGAGGAGGAGGAGGAGGCAGGGTGGGGGCTCTTCCCCCCCGACCAAGCGAGGAAAGTGTGCGTGGAGTGGGAAGAAGAAGAGGAGGAGGAGGGAGGGGGGAAGAGGCGGTCGAAGGGGGCGAGGTAGCGGAGGAGAGCGGCGAGGAGGAGGCAGAGCGGCACGAGGAGGTGGGAGAGGCGATGCGGGACAAGGAGGAAGAAGATGACAGCCACTATGGCAACGAGGGCCCTGTCAGTGGTGGTGGAGAGCTGCAGGGGGGGGGAAGGGAAGTGGGAAGAGGGACAGTGGAGAGTAAGCTGGCGATGGGGGGTAAGGAAAAAGAAGATGACAGCGAATATGGCAACGAGGGCCCTGTCAGTGGTGGTGGATAGCTGGAAGGGGGGGGGGGGGGGGGGAGGGGGGTGTAGCGGGATACGGGACAGTGGAGGGTAAACTGCACTGCACGGATTACGGGGCAGGAGGAAGAAGACGGCCGCCACTATGGCAACGAGGGCCCTGTCAGTGGTGGTGGATAGCTGGAAGAAGAGGGGCGAGAGGCAAGGAGAGGAAGGGGGACAAGGAGGGAGAGGAGGGCAATGAAACATCACTTAGAGGGATGACAGCAGCCACTATGGCGATGAGGGCCCTGTCAGTCAGCGGTGGATGGCTGGAGGTGGGGAGGGGAGGGGTGGGGGAGGTGGGGGGACAGTGGGATGGGGAGAGGGACAGTGAAGGACCACGGGGGGAAACACACGCGAGGGGGGAGGGAGGATGACGGGAGGAAGAAGACAGCAGCGACTATGGCAATGAGGGCCCTGTCAGCGGTGGTGGATAGCTGGAGTGGGGAGGGGGAAGACGGACCACGGGGGGAAACACACGCAAGGGGGGAGGGCGGATGTTAGAGGGTAGGAAGAAGACGGCAGCGACTATGGCAATGAAGGGTCTATCGACGGTGGTGGATAGCTGGTAGGGAGGGGGGGCACGGGGGGCAAGGAGAGGACGGGGGGCAAGGGGGCAAGCAGGTCAGCGCGACAAGGGATTGAGAGGAGGAAGAAGACGGCAGCAGCTATGGCAATGAGCGCCCTGTCGGTGGTGGTGGACAGCTGGGGAAAGAGAGAGGCGAGAGGCAAGGAGAGGAAGGGGGACACGAGGGAGAGGAGGGCAATACAGCAGCAGTGAGAAGGGGAGGGCGAGAAGACGAGAGGAAGCGACAGCCAGCACGAGAACAAAAGCTCTATTGGTGTGGGTCGATAGCTGGAGGGCGAGAGGGGGGCAATGGGGGGCACGGAGTGCCATGTGACAGTGGTTAATGGGGAAGAGACAGGGGGGACCATGGCAACGAGGGCCCTGTCGGTGACAAGAGAGATGTGATGGAAAGTGATGGGAGGCGGTAGGGCAATAATACAAGGTGGTGGGGCATGGTGAAGCGACAGCAGGGGGGAGATGACGTTGAAAGGGAGGATGGGAGAACCCGGGGCAAAGAGGGGAGGCAGGAGACGGGAGGCGGGAGACGGGAGGCGGGAGACGGGAGACGGGAGGCGGGAGACGGGAGACGGGAGGCGGGAGACGGGAGGCGGGAGGCGGGAGACGGGAGGCGGGAGACGGGAGACGGGAGACGGGAGACGGGAGGTGGGAGGCGGGAGACGGGAGACGGGAGACGGGAGACGGGAGGCGGGAGACGGGAGGTGGGAGGTGGGAGAGAAAGGCCCTTACGTTTTGCGCAAGGGCGAAGGAGTAGAGAAGAGCGTAGGCAGGTGCAGTGCAGCAGTCACAACCCCCACCACGACTTGTGAGAGCTTGGCCACAAACTGGTCGTGAGAGTCTATTCTTGAGGCGCCTAAAATAGTCACAACAACCCCCACCACGGCTTGTGAGAGCTTGGCCGCAAACTTGTCGGAGGGAGTGTAACGTACGGACAGATGGGTAACTTACGTTTTGGGCGTGTGCAAAGGAGTAAAGCAGTGCGTAGGCGGGTGCAGCAGCAACGACCCCCACCACGGCTTGTGAGAGCGTGGCTGCTTTCTCGTCGGGGGGGATCTGCGGGCCAAACTCGGTGAACCACTGTGCGTTGAAAGAGAAGAAGTCGTTCTGCCCCACCACCTCCACAAATCGGGCCTGAAGGGCATGATGCAGTGGGGCGTAACACGGTGCACAATCGTGTTGTCACATGTGCCACACGCATCCGCATCACCAATCTCGGTGAACCAAAGCGCGTTGAAAGAGAAGTAGTCGTTCTGCCCCACCACCTCCACGAACCGGGCCTGAAGGATATGACGCAGTAGGGCGTAACACATCGTACAATCATATTAGCATGCATCACATGCATCAGCATCGGCAAATTCGGTGAACCACTGTGCGTTGAAGGAGAATAAACCGTTCTGCCCCACCACCTCCACGAACAGTGCCTGGAAGCAATCAAATGTGGAGCAAGAGTGAAGAACCACATATGTATATAATTATATATATACATATATATCATATATATGTGTGTATGTATCACATACGACAGTATCATCAGCATCGGTGAACTGTTGCACGTAGAAAGCGAAGAAACCTTTTGGCCCCACAAACTCAGATGCATATGGCAAAGACAAAAACACACACATATATACATATACATATACATATACATACATACATACATACATACATACATACATACATACATACATACATACATACATACATACATACATACATACATACATACATACATACATACATACATACATACATACATACATACATACATACATACATACATACATACATACATACATACATACATACATACATACATACATACATACATACATACATACATACATACATACATACATACATACATACATACATACATACATACATACATACATACATACATACATACACATCTATAGATACATCAGATGCATCAGAATCACCATGAAATGTATTGCCTCACATATTAACCTCTTTCCCAGGGCAGGCTCAAACTCACCACCAAGTGCACGGCCTCGCATTGCATCCAGGCAGCAAGCATACCCTCCCTCCCCCCCCCACCCCCCTCCTTAAGGCGTCTTTACCAGGGTAGACTCAAACTCACCGCAGAGTAGACATGAGCACGAGTCGAGTCGAGTCGAGACGGCTCAAGTTGGCATTGAGTCTACTCTGTCTCGAATCGAGTCAGAGTCGGGTCGAGTCAACTTTTTGCCTAGCCTGACTCGTGACTCGGAGTTTAGCCTCGAGTCAGGAGGACGGACTCGAGTCGAGTGAGGGCTGACTCGATTCGAGTCTCTCGACTTGCGAGTCAGAAGTGGCTCGCCCTGTGCCATGGGTTTTGGGGGCCTGTATCCGTTTTATAAGGTTGGTTTTGAGACGTCTCAAAACCAACCTTATATCACATGGCTCGCCCTGTCTATGGGTTTTGGGTTTTAAAAGAGCCTCCTGAACGATTGGAGCATCCGAAGCTACCGACTAGTCTTGACGGTCTGAGCGCCAAACAAACCCTAGAATGATGGCCTCTACTTGTCGTCAATTTATGGCTGGCGGAATGCCATTTGACTGCCGCTCTTCTTAATCGCGAACACCCAAACCAATCCCTCTTCTCGCCAACACCCTACCCAATCCCTCCTTTCATTAGACCCAAACCCAATCTTTTTTTTCCAAACAACCAATCCATACCTAAAAAATTATAGGAGGCGTGGAAAAAACGATTGGGTTTGTCGTCTTCTTTCGCCCCCGTAGAAAAACCGCCACGCGAGCCGCGGAATCCCGTCGAGTCGACGCACAGACATGAATCCAGTCGATTCGCCGACTCGACCTCGACTGGAGTGGTCGAGTCGAGTTTGTGCCGACTCGGGGCCGACTCGCCGATTCGACTTGTGTCGAGAAGAAGAAGAAGAAGAAGAAAAAAAAGGCCGACTCGTCGACTCGCGCGAGTCGCATGCTCATATCTACCGCAGAGTAAATAGAAACGCAGCCAGGCAGCACGAAGGCGGCAGCGAGCATCACAAGAATCCCCCCCGGGTACCTTCTAAGCCACCCACCTCCAAAGTCAAGTCTTACCAAGCAACCCCTTATCAATCAGCAGTGCATACATGACCAACCAACCCCTTATCAATCAGAAGTGCATACATGACCAACCAACCCCTTATCAATCAGAAGTGCATACATGACCAACCAACCCCTTATCAATCAGAAGTGCATACATGACCAACCAACCCCTTATCAATCAGAAGTGCATACATGACCAACCAACCCCTTATCAATCAGAAGTGCATACATGACCAACCAACCCCTTATCAATCAGAAGTGCATACATGACCAACCAACCCCTTATCAATCAGAAGTGCATACATGACCAACCAACCCCTTATCAATCAGCAGTGCATACATGACCAACCAACCCCTTATTCCGGCGCCATTACCGAGGTGGACTCGATCATACCACAAAGTAGATCGAAACGCAGCCAGGCAGCATGAAGATGAAGAGCATGAGAATGCCGCCCAGGTACGTGCCCAACCACAGCGTGCCAAGTGTCGCCACCATCTGCATCCCCGTCGGGCCTGGGATGGCCTGCGAGGAGAATCGAGGGAGCGGCGAACAGAGGAGAGCATCAAAAGAGGGAGCAGAGAGGCAGCTGGTGAGGACGCTGTGGTATGGAGGAGGCACATAGAGGGGGGGCAGAAAGGCAGCAAAGCAGCTGCTAGCAGCGTGTGTGCCAAGTGTCGCCACCATCTGCATCCTGTGGGGCCTGGGATGGCATGCGAGGCATATAGAGGAAGCCAAGGATAGAGAGGGAGCGGCGGAAAGAGGGAGCCAGGGATAGAGGAAGCGGCGGATAGAGGCAGCTGGTGGTGGTAGTAACACAGCAATAGCCTTCCGGTCCAACCACCCTCCTCCATGGTATAGCCAGTTTTGAGACATCTCGCAAGCTAGCTGGTGGTAGTAACGTAACAACAGCCTTCCGGTCCAACCACCCTCCTCCATGTCTAGCTGGTTTTGAGACGTCTCACAACTAGCTGGTGGTAATAACATAACAATAGGCCCCCGGTCCAACCGCCCACTCCTGTAGGCAAACCTGTAGCATGACCTGTTAGCTCCATCTCGTTACTGTCACTGAAAGCAAGCAGGAGTGGGATGGAGGACAAACCCGAGGTAAGGACCTCACATGCAACACCCCATCTAGTTACTGTCACTTAACGCATTCAGGAGTGGGATGGAGGACGTTACATTGGCGTATCGATAGAGCTCAGTGAACCAGACGCCATGAATGAAACACCCCCTCTCCAGTCGACGTGACTTTTGAGTCGACTCAAAAAGTCACCTCAAAAAACACCCCCTCTCCAGTCGACAAACCCGAGATAAGGACCTCATTCACATTGGCGCATCGGTATCGGTACACCTCGCGAATTGGTTGTCGTCCAGCCACCCTCTCTGGCCCGACAAACCTCGCCCTTCCATTCCCACTTGACAAAGCAGAAGGAAACCCTTACGGCACGCAGCGGGGAGGCCATCACATTGGCATATCGGTAGACCTCGCCTCGGCTAACTGGCTGTCATCTAACACACCCTCTCTGGTCGAAAACCCGAGTTAAGGACCTCACATTGGCATATCGGTAGACCTCGGCGAATTGGTTATCGTCCAGCCACCCTCGCCGGTCGACAAACTCCTTCCTCATCATCTCGATGTGCCCCTTGGACCCGCCGAAGTTGTAGAAGCTGCTCCCGGGGAAACGACACATGAACGAAACATTCACACAGGAGATGAAACGGGGGATGAGATCATGTCAAAAACAAGGGTGTAATGTGTAATGGACAGGTGTCAATAGCAGGACTTTTGAGGCGCCTCAAAAGTCGGAACAAAGTACTCACACAGGGGATGAAAGAGGAGATGGGATCATGTAAAATACAAGGGTGTCAACAGCAGGAGCGAGGGAGGGGGGAGACGAGCTGACGGAAAACGTGAGCAGGGGAGATTGGGGGCGAAGCGGCAAGAGACTCGCGAGCATCGCTGCAATCTCGCAAGCACGTCCGGCTGCACGGGGGAACAGGCATATCAGTCCTCAGCTCTAGACGAAACAGTGATTATGGCTTTTATAATTCTTCAACAAAACCGGCGTACCCCATGAGAAAGAACGACATGAGCACGGAGAACGCATTGGGCTGTTGGACTCGAGCGGAGGAAGCAGCCGGCGCACTCGCTAAGCCTAACTCCACGGTCGTCGCGTCCAGCATGCTGTCAGAGCTAACCCTAACTCGACGGAAGCTGTTGGAACTTGTAATCAATGGTGGCGCTGCTATCTGAGTCGACTCAAAACTCCGCTGGCGTATTCGCTAACCCTAACTCGACGGTCGTTGCGTCCAGCATGTCTGGAAGTCACTGCAGCTTGTCTTCTATATAAGCGAATCTATGCGAATTTCTGCGAATCTATGCAAATTCATGCAAATCTATGCGAATCTACTTTCAGGACTAACGCCACCACGGGGCTTCCACCGCGGCGGGAAATTCTATTGCGGAAGCTACAATCGCGGGAATCCGCGGTGAGGCTGGGGAATCTCAGCCGGTGGTTGTGTTTTCGGCACAGGCTGGCTGTGCCTGGTCACGCCAAGCCATTCATGGCGTGTTTCCACGACCATGAGTCAGAAGCCAGACAGAATTCGATCAGCACCAGCCAACGGAAACCACTAGATGGAAGATGAGCCCAGACAAAAACTGGAAATTGGCCGACAGAAGTTGTACCCAGTATCCATCATGATAGCTGTCACGCAATGGTAATTAACTACTTCAGGGAATTCCGACGCTAGTGACGATGCGACTAGAGCTCCTCCGTAGCTGTAGGTTTTAGGGACTGATAAGTGCTAAAGCAGATGTGAGCATGGGGAAAACACACTACTTCTTTAGTAGTTCAGAGACCATCTGACCCCGACAATTCGCAGCAGCAGGGAGGTGATGCAAAGCTGACACAAAGAAGATTCTTGATTCGTTCAAATACAGGATGTGACAGAGGCGGGGGACGTTGACGGTTCAGATGCTTTGGTTGGTTAGGCGGGAACCACCCTGGTGTGGCCAAGATTCTTTTGTTGCTCAGTGCTGCTCCCTTCCAGTCGGACTCGACATTCAAGGTGATATTTATGATAACAGCTAATAGACTCTACTCTTCTAACTGTCGTGGCACTAGGATAGCCCTGTCGAACCTCCTCTCTCTCTAGGGAGGGTACTAGGGATGCTTTCCCTGGGGAAGGTGGATATTCTCGGAGTAAAAAAATTAGTTAGGATGAGGCATACAGGTTGGTTTTGTTCAAATGTGTGTACCCTCTAAGAGCATACACCTATCTAGCCCTGTAATAACATATACAAATATGTTTGACACACCCCCTAGGCTAGATGAGGGGCAGTGCCTGGAAGACGACCCACAGCTCAGGGTGGCACTACTATTACAGCCTCTGAAGCAAGGGTCCGAATTCCAGTCAACAAGAGTACAAACAAGACCAGAGCAAACCAGGGCGGCACTACTAATCCGACCACTAGAAGAGAAGCCACAAGGCCAGTCAGAAAGGTATATATAAAAAGAAGTACACAATCAAGGTCCGAGCAAGTGAGTAGCTATAGGAACTAGCCCAAGCTGCAAGCAGTGCCGCTGATGATCTCTAGGCGCAAGCGCCATAGTAAAGGTATCAGCTGTGTTGGCACCGCAGGCCAAGTGTACTACGCGGGCCTGGCGACGCTGCTGTAGCTCGCGCATGAGGAAGTAACGCAGCTGGATGTGCTTCGCTCTGCCCTCGATTCGAGGCTCCTGACACAGCATGATCATGGCCTTGTTGTCAGCATACAGAACTGGGCCAGAGCTATGCCGCTCACCCAAGTCTGTGAGCAAGAAAGTCAACCAGAGGAGCTCCTGTGCCGCCATGGCACCAACGTAGATCTCAGCCTCGCAGCTGGACTGTGCAACTAACGACGAACGGGTGGACCTCTACGAGACCGCGCCTGCACCAGGGCTAAACAAGTAGCCTTAAGAGGACCTGAGGGTCTCAGCGTCGTCTGCCCAAGAAGCGTCAGTGTGCCCAGTAAGAACCACTGGCATGCGTCCTCCCAGTACTAGCCCCATGTCCGATGTACTTGCTAGATAACGCAAAACCCTCTTAGCGGCCGACCAATGTTGTGGTCGGTTTGTGCTTGTGGCCGCAAAGCGAGCCAACATGCTGAGAGGGTATGCGAGATCTGGACGAGTGCAAGTCATCAGGTATATGAGGCAACCCACCAGCTCTGCGTAAGGAACGCTGGGCTCTACTGACTCCTCAGGAACTGGAGCTGAGAGCATGTCGTCTACAGGCAGAGGTGTGGGCTGTGCGGAGGAGAACTGAAGACCGAACCTCTGAAGGACCTGGCGCACCAAAAGTGACTGTGTGCTAGTGATGGTGCACGCTGCTCTAACCCTGGAGATCTGCAGGCCAAGGTAGCGGCGCAGCTCTCCTAGGTCAGTGCAGGTGTGTCTCCTTAGAAGCTCGGCCTTCACGGCGGCCAGTGCGTCTTTGTCTGCAGTAGCGAATATCAGGTTGTCTACGTAGACAAGGATGTAGAACGGAGTCTGGCCAGTACGAACGAAGAGCGACGGGTCTGCAGAGGACGGAAAGAACTGCAGGTCAGTTAGCGTAGCACGCAGCGTGTCGTGCCACTCCTGGGGTGCCTGTCGCAAGCCGTACACCAGGCGCAGGAGGAACCACTGGGTCCCAGGAGGAATGGTACTAGTGAAGCCCTGAGGACGGCGCATGTAGACCTGCTCGTGTAGGCTGCCCTGAAGAAAAACAGTGGAGAAGTCGAGGGAGTGGAGCTCGTAGTCACGCTGTGCTGCTACGTGTAGCAGCGCCCGAAGAGTAGTCATCTTCGGGGTCGGGGCGAAGGTCTGACAGAAGTCCACCCCCTGACGCTGACTGAAGCCTCGGGCCACGTAACGCGCCTTGAACATCGGCGACTCTCCAGGAGGGCGCTTCACCTTGAAGAGCCACCGGCCGTCGACAACGTTCACCCCAGGTGGGGGAACTGCTTGACCATAAGTGCTGGTGGATCTCCAAGATGCCATCTCCTGCTCCATAGCAGCTATCCACTGAGAGGCCCAGGGTCCCGATATCGCCTCAGCGTAAGTGCGAGGGGTCGAGATGTCAAAGGCGTCTGGGTCACCCTCGGGGACTAGCAGCATGGAACAGAGATGGGGAGTAGCATCGGACAGGAAAGCAAGCTGGTATTGCCTGTCCTCTAGGACGTCATTGCCAAGGGCAGGAGCACCCTCGACGAACGGAGGGCAGGCAGGGCCAGAGACCAAAGCGGTGGCGTAATCAAGGCGGCGGGTGGAGGCGAAGTCAGCAACAGCAGCGACAAGAGCGTCAAGACTCGAGACAGGGATAGATGGGTCGGTAACGAGGGAGGCAAGGACTTGGGGAACAAGGGGACGAGCTGCACGAAGGTAGTCAGACAGAGGGGGAGGCGCAACAGTGAGCGACGACGGAGGAAGAGAGGGGAGGAAGGGAGGACGGGACGCATGGGAACGAAGCAACATAGGGTGAGATCGTTGAACAGGAGAGACAGGATGAGCAGGAGAGGGACGGCGCGACCAGACGTGAGACGGAGGTGTCTGGTCAGGAGATAGAGGAGGAGACACAAGAGGCGAACAAGGTGGGAAACGGGCAGGGGAGGAGTCCGGCGGAGGAAACATAGGACTGTGGACAGGAAGGGGAGGAGGCGGCCGGGGAGGCACAAGCGAGCGGTCAGGGGAGGGAAGGCCGAGCAGGCGAAGGGCGGACACCGATGGCGACTGCTGCTACTGCTGCTCGACGCCGATACCTGGACCGCCAGCTGCACTACAGCTACCTCCGGAACACTCCACTCCAGCACCCCCAGAACGAGCACCCCCAGAGCGAGAACCCTCTCCAGCACCAGTGCCACCCCCCGAGCCCGCCGGGACAAGCCACGACAAGAACCGCAGGACTAGCACCCTCCTCAATGCCAGCACCCCCAGAGTCCACGAACGGCTGCTGCTGCTGCGACGGCGGCGGCTGCAACGGCGGCGGCGACTGTGACGACGGGGGAGGGGACACCTGGGGAGAGACAGGCGGTGAGAACTGCGCCATAGGACTATTAGAGTCCGCCGACTCCTCGACCGGGACAGCCGACGGGAGGGGAGTGACGTGAGACACAGCAGATGGAGCACGACGGGGAGGGAGGGGAGCAGGGGCTACTTGGGGAGTGGGAACCAGAAACAGAGGTGGGGGAACCAGGAGACCTCGGTGAGGAAAGCGATGATAAAAGGAGATAGACTCGTCAAAAATGACGTCGCGCGACTGAAGGAAGCGATGAGACGGTGGGTGGTAAAAGTGCCGGTCAAACGAGTCAAAAGGAAAACCAAGGAAGACAGATGGGACAGTGCGCGCAGTGAGCTTGTCCGTACCAGAGGCACGAACGTTAGCAAGGCATCCCCAAACGTGGAACGCAAACGCGTCACCAGGAGACCCGGTCCAGAGGAGGGTCGATGAAACCTGCAGTCGCTGGGAGCGGGGCCACAGGTTCAGCTGGTGAGCAACGTAGCGAACAGCGAATGGCCATAGAAAATGGGGTGCACCAGCATGGATCATGGAGGTATGGGCCACCTCCATGACCAAGCCGATGCATCGCTCAGCAACCCTATTTTGTTGTGGGGAGTCCGGCAGGGTATACAACTGGGTGATGCCCTCCGCACGACAGAACCTGCCAGGCTGACAGGAGGCAAACTCGCCACTACGGTCGGAGTGGAGACACAGCACGGGGAGATCGCGGCGGAATCGCACAGCTATGACCCACGAGATCAGAACGTCAGGCACGTCGGCCTTCCGCTCCAGAGGAAACACCGTGGGGTAGCGCGTGTAGTCATCAACAAGCACCATGAAGTAGCGCTCTCGACGCGGCCCAGGGACGGGGGCTGGACCCCAGACGTCTAGGTGCAGGGTCTGGAGTGGCGCGGTGGCAGGGCGAAGCGAGGAGGAGTGAGGAGCATAACGTAGCCGGCCCTCGACGCAGGGTGTGCACGGCGGCGCAGGCGAGGGAGGTAGGGAAGGGAGAGTTACAAGAAGACCTAGAACAAGACCGTTCTGGGACATGTGACGCAGACGCGGGAGTGCAGGGTGACCTAGGCGGTGGTGCCACAGCAGCGATGGGTGAGTGAGCGACCGATACGAGCAAGCCGCGGCTACCTGGGGGGACGCCTTCACCGGGGGGGACGCAGTGTCAAGCGTAAACAGGCCAGACACAACGTTTCGGCGGAACGTCATAAGGGGGCCACCTGAGGCAGTCTCGGTACAGACAGTGTACCGCTCGTGTTTGAAGAACGTAGTGGTGACGCCGAGGTCCTGAAGACAGCCGACACCAACTAAGCTCCTAGAGAACGAGGGGATGTGCAGACCTGTAAGGGTGCCCGAGGGGGCCGCCGGACAGGGGAGGGTGGTGGAGCTACGTGCAACTACCAGACTGGAGGAGGGATCTTCAAGTGCAATGGTGGCAGGGGTGGCAAGCAGCGTAAGGGAAGCGTGGTGGCGGAAGAAGCAGGTAGACGCACCAGAGTCGATTGTGAAGGAGAGCGAAGCGCTAGCGGCTGCCGGCAGAGGTGCTAGTGTGGAGCCTAGGCTAAACAAGGCAGGGGATCCTACGCCTAACATAGCAGGGGAGCCTAGACTACGCACGGTGGACACACCTACACTAAGCAACATCGGATAATAGGATCCAATCACACTAGAGTCATCTGCATATATGACAGACACAGCATTCCTAATCTGATCCATATCAAGCTCAAAGACTAGCACACGACGGCGCGCTAGGGCATACTAGTCAGGAGGGTCCGACGCAGGACCGAAG